CAAGGTTGAAGAGATCTTTCTCTTCAGCTCTCCACTTTGGGGGGTCTGCTGTGAGCGGCTCCACTCACCGGTTGTCCCTTTTCCCAGATCTGATGGTCACTGTGTGGATGAGGAAAGAGGGACTCATTCAGGATTTAGCCTCCTGGTGGAAAATGTAGAATCTGGACACCAGAATTGTGTAACAATAGGCTCTCGGAAGCCGGAAGTTAAGGAGTCCATGTGTCACGGAACCGGAAGTTCAAAAGTCAGGGAAATCTAAACTACAAAAAACAGAATCTCCAGAGTTGGATTCCTCAAATCTCAGGGATGACGTTGATATCCAGAAGCTGGGCACTTGGGTCCTAGTGATCTAAGCATGCAACAGGGACAGTCCATTATATGGACGTTCCTAGGGATTAGAGGTGTGGCCTAAGGGGTGAAATGGAAGGAAGGGCACGGGGGGAAGGAGAAGAAAAGTGGAGTGAATGGAGGGGACCATTGGGGCTGGGCTGCTCGGGACTGCAGGAACCGGCAAGACACAGAGCTAGACCAGCCAGTCTTCCTTGGGGGCATTCTGTGCTGGGAGCTGGAAAGACTGACAGTGAGAGAGGGACAGGGGCCTGGGAAGAAGTGGGTGGGAAATTTTGTGAATGAAGATGGGAAGATTGGGAAGATGGTGAGAGGATCCATCAGGATGGGTTTTATTGGAACATACTGGAATTGGGGGTCCTGTGGAGGTACTAGTTGCTGTGGAAGGGCTGGGGAGAAAGTGGGAGCCACAGGGAGTGGGAGAAAGACTGGATGAGGGGTAACTGCAGTCACAGAGAGGGGTAGGGGATGGACGAGGGAGACTAGGAGGGACAGAGCATACACGAAGACATGAGGGAATGGAGGGCTCCGAGAGCTTGGGGGGATTTAGGATGGTGAGCTGAATAGGTCTGAGGTGGTTCAGCAACTGGAGGAACAGGAGGGGATGCAGTGATTAATTGGGGAGCTCTGGGGGCCTGAGGGAAAACGAGGAGAGCTGCCTGGACTGGGAAAACTCGACACATTCTGAGGACTGTGGACTCAGCAATCTGAGATGGACCGAAGTCCTATGGTTGTCAGGTGGCTGGGACTACGGAGGACAAACAGGGTGGGGCCGGGGAGAACTATGAGAAACTGGAATGTGTGATTGACAAAGAAGGGAGCGAAGTATGAGGGTCCCAGAAGAATGAAAAGGAGTGAGAATTAGGAGAGGGATTAGAGTGACTTGGATACAGGGTGCAGCTTTGGCGGGGAGACAGGAAGGCTTGAGGCAAATGGATACAGGGTAGGGCTCAGGGGGCCAGGTGAGGAGCTGAGACGTGGCTGCTGGAATGGGGATGTGGGAGAGCACAGAGAGAACAGGCAGAATGGGGCAGATATGTGAGGCCAGGAAGGGAAGTAGGAGATGGGTGTATGGAAGGAATCAGAGTGTTCTCAGTGCCCTTTGGCAGCTGGGCGCTGGGGGATTCTGGTATTGGTGGAGATGACTGGACTTGGAAACATTGAATGTGAGAGAATATGGGACAATGAGGGGATAGGTAAGGGGCTTAGATAGAGTGGGGTGTTGCAGACTTAAGGAGGACTAGGGAGACAAAGGTAAGAGAATACAGTGATAGCTGCAAGAAAGAGTGGGGAGGGTGGTGGGAGAAAAAGACTGAGAAGTGGTGTGAAGAGGGGAGAACTGCAGAAGCCAGGTGAAGAGACCACTTTCAGGAGTTTCTCCAAGAAAAGACAAGGAAAAAACTATCTGTCCCCACACCTCTCTTCTCTGTTCCCTCATCCACTGGCAGATGTGCCATATAAGGGCTTTGAGCGACTACTGTTTGGATTATAAATAGAGTATTGACTCCTTATTCACAGAGAACATAGCATGGTTTTCTAATTTCACAAAGAATGCAGGGAAAATGCAGAACATTTGGAACTGTTTGAAAAGCACAAAGAAAAACTGAATGCCAGGAACATCACACTGAAAACATCACTGTTGATTCCTGGAGAGCATTTTTCTCTGTCTCTATCTCTAGTCCTTTGACTTCCTTGTCAACCACACTGAAGTGGGTAATGCCCCTCAGGGCATGCTTGATTCTCATCCACTCCATGTTGTTCTGAAGCCAAAGATCATGGCTTGGAGCTGGTCCAGGAGGCTTCCACTGATGACAACCACCACTCACTGAGAAGTGACCGCTGAAGTGTGAAGCCCTTTGGGTTAAGTCAACGTTCTCCAACTTCAGGCACTCCTCTGACAGCATCGTGGTTTTCTATACATGATGTCCTCTGTCATCTGCCTTTATCTTTACCTTCATTCTCAGGGTTTTATTTTTTTTAACTTAACATCATCCTAAGCAATCATGAATTTTCTTCCTCAATATACATTAAAAGAAATTCAAATTTATAAAAACTGAAAAAACATCCATCTATATATTAACTAACAGCTCAAGCATTACATCCTGGAAAGAAGTTATAAAGGGTGCTCGTTTTATTCATAGCACTGGCCTCAATTAGTGCTGAGGTCCCTTCATTTGTGCAATTACTAACTCACAGGTGTCTCTTTCACCAGATTTCCTACTCTACAGGAGGGAGAACCACGTCTATTTTTCCTCCCCATTGGATATCCAGTGCCAAGCACATAGCATAGTGCCAGACTCATGATAAGGGCTCAACTGCTATTTGTTAAGTGATGAAAGAGATTATTTATACATCAAACAACTCTATAAGGAAAGTATTGTTTACTCTCATTTTGGGGTGAAGAAAGTGAGACTTATGGATTTGAACTAATTTGTCCATGGTCTCACAGATGGCAAGTATCAGCCAGGATGTGTTCCCAGTTGTAGAGAAACTGTAGATAAACACAAATGCTCAAAAAGCTACTATACTAGATACTTCCTGGAAGGGCGTTGATAGGAGATGAACTTGGAAAGTCTGCTGGAGGCTTGCTTGGATGAAGTCTGAATGTAGGGAAAAGGAGGAGTATGGAGTTTCTGCATCTGCCTTGGAAAGCAATCTGAAGCTTTAAGACAAGAAAGTGACATCTCTCCTCACCAAAAATATTTACCCTTTTGGAGGATTATTGTTTTTGTGGAGAAAGATGATTAAAATAAAGAGTCTGGGAAATATTAAAATATTTTTCCATTCCCAAAACCCAGAGATGGAGACACCATCTAGGGTGAGAATCAGAAGAGTCAGGGTTTGCATATCACCAGCCCTAGGCAGAAGTTATTTTTGTCCATTATCCACCTACATGGGTTTCTTTCTTTCTTTTTAGTAAATTAATGGTTTAACATTTTATTTTCATTGCCCAGAAATGTATAAATTGTTCCTTGTTGTCAATCATTTAAACAGCACAGAAATCTATACATTGAAATTTTGCACTTACACCTCCTTCTGACCCATCTCTCACTCCAGACACACACACAGTCATTCTTCCTACAGGCCTGTACTCTTCACAGCTTTCTAGCTGTCCTTCTAGTCATTATTTCTATACATGCACATATGTATTGACATATCTGTATGAATCTTATAGAAATGGGTTCATACTACGTGTAGGATTGTGGAATTTATTTTTCACATATTGCTTTCACACAATGTAGAGTATTCCCTAGTAAGGCTGTACCATGTTTAACTACCTCCTATTAATGAAGATTTGGGTCACCTCCCAGCAGTGAAAATTCTGAATATAGAAGTTGCATATTTGACCTTTTGATGGACTTTTGGTTCGAGGACTAATGTTCTGGGTGTGTTCATCATGATGGAAGGGGATGAGGCTGGTCTCTGAGGTTCTTCACCTGCTACATCAGAGGGCAGCAAAGCTTCTGTAAGGGCCCAGACAGGAAATGTTTTCAGCTTTGTGAGCCATCTTGTCTCTGTCACAATGTCAACTCTGTGGTTTTAGCAAGAAAGCAGCCATGGACAATACATAGGCAAATGAGCATGTCTGTGTACCAATAAAACTTTATTTACAAACATGGGCAGCCAGCCCAGGAGCTGTGGTCAATTGGGGAAAAGAATAATCTTTCCAATAAATGATGATGGGACAACTGGAGATCCATATGCAAAAGAATGTGGACCTCACACCATATTAAAAACCTTACACCACTTTAAAGAATTAATTCTGGATGGATCATGTATCTAAGTGTAATGACCAAGACTGTAAAAGTCTTGGAAGAAAACATACGTGTAAATCATTGTGACCTTGCTTAGGCAATTCTTTTTTAGATATGACACCTAAATAAGCCACGCCTTTCTGTAAGGGAATGTTCACAGTACCTGACCCTCCATGTTTGGACTCAGCTTGGCCTCAGCAAAGCCATATCCTCATCCCTGGGAGACATGAGCTCGGGGATGTCCTTAGCTTTCCTCAACTTTGCACAGAATTAATGGCCTCTATTCTGAGAAGAAGATGCTCTGGGTCAGTTCATGGAGAAGGTGAGGATGGGACCAGTATTGGATGGGACCAGGGCAGAGTACGTTGCACTCCACAAATGTTATAAGTGACCATTTGTTTTTGTCCAACCACTACACTGCAAGGTCTGAGAAAACAGAAGTCTTGTCTTTGTTGTTGTTAATGCCCAGGCCCAAGCACTGGGCCAGGTGCACAGAGGGTCCTCAGTACAGTTGGTTGAATAAAATAGGGATCTCCATGAAGCATCATGATGTTTCTGAAACCCACATTATGAAGAGTCACTACCATCTTCAGTCCAAGTCAAAATGCCATCCTGGCCCCAAATGGCAAGTCTGTTTGGGGAATCATGGACAGTAAAGGTCAAATTTGATCACACTAAGTCAGAGGATCCATGGAATAGACATCAGAATGGTTTGATTGTGTTTCTCTGGGTGGATCATGAGCATCCTTCCTCCTCCTCCCCGGGATGCTGACATTTAAAGCCACAGCTCAGATCTTCATCTTGGGCTGCACGAGGTGTCTCGGGAATCCTGCAGGTGGGTCCAGCTGCCCACATCATGGCCAATTCTTCATCATCCACAACCTGCAGGACGTCTTTATCTTCCTGGTGCACTGCCTCCTCAGCCAGCAGGTACCACTGCCTGACTCCCACTCAGGACTCTGCCCATCTCACTCCTCTCAGTAAGTTGGCCCAGAGCCTGCTTTGCCTCCTCAGGTCCAGCAACAATACGGGAAATGGTGCAAAGGTGTCAGGAAAACCAAAGTGGAGTCTGAGAAGTACACGCTCTCCAGCAGGGCCGGGTCTGAGGCCTCCAGACACAGTGTGGTAACACCATGCACTGCTCCCAGAGCACTTGACTAACAGATCTGCTTGATCAGCACGTGTCTCCCACACTGCACAACCTGGGTATACAGCAGGTGATGCCCTACGATGGCTCACACTTGGTTTACTCCTGGACACACTGAAGACACTTCCTGTCATGAATGGACATCTTCCTGCACTTTTGTGCTGTGTTTCTACGCTCACCTTGACTGTTGCACACAACAATCTTATTTCCCACAGGGGTGGAGCAGCATTTTGTGTCACATGGTCCATGTGCCTTTTAATTTTCCTTGGTGAGAAGATAGAAAATACTTACACATAAGCAGAGAAAGATGCTACAGTGAGCTCTATAGGCAGGAACTAATGATCTGAAGCAGTGATGCAGGAGCTGCACAGGGTCACAGCACCATCCTTTATCCCAAGTCATTCCATGCCACCCCTCTATAAACAATAATAAGTACATGGTATCTATGTCATAAAAGTAAAACGAAATAAGTATTAAGTTGGTTTTGAAACTTTCCTTAAAAGTCTACAATCAGTCCTGCTATTCTCAAAACACACAAACAATGCAAAACCAGGAAGGAGAATCACAGAAGCATAGGAGAGATCCGAGCAATGTGAATTGTATCAAGCATTTGTATTTTCAGGTTTACGAAACCTCATCTCACATTTTTGTTCACATGATCTTCACATCAGCACTTGGAGCTAAGTTTTGTTATATTCCCACTTGGTAGGTGAAGAAAGTGAGACTCATGGGGTCTGTATGGGTTGTGAAAATACTTGAGCCAATTCATTCTTTCTCCCAACTTTCATGAGCCCCCAATCTGCCTCGCAAGCCATCTGCATTTCTCTCACCTATGTACTTGCCCACCCTCCACAACTGCCCCTTCCCAAATTCTCCAGTCCTCAGAGGTCTCATTCTTCTAACTCTTTCCTCTTCCCAGCAGATCTTCCTGCCAACTTCTTCACAGGGAAAATCAACTCAGTAGATGAAACAGGGTTAACTTTGTGCTCTCAAAAACACCAGGCATTTGGCATCTGGTTCATTCTCTCCTCATTCCATCTTGTTCCCACAGACAGACAGAACGTGCTTCATACTTTTTAAGGCTAACCCCTCTGTCTGTATTTGGTTCCTGACATTCTTGACTTCTCGATAACTTTACGTTGTTTCTCACGCATTCTCTCTCTGGACCTGCACAGTCTCACCATCTCAACAGCATCCTTTCCACCTTCATTGCAACAGGCTAAGTCTCTCTCTCATTGAAAAGTATTAATGTTATGCATTTGATCCCTCCTTCTTCTTCCTCTACACACTCAAACGTGGCTTTTGCCTCCATCATGCCACCAAAACAGCTCTCTATTGAGACTCCACTGACCTTCATATCACTGGATAAAATAAATGTCTTTTGGTCCTCTCAGCAGTATTGGATGCTGTGGTTACTGCCTCTATCGTGAATCTTCTCTTTTGTCCCTCCCTTCATGTCTCGTCACCTCCTGGAATTCTTCTTGTCTCTCTAGATGAGCTTTCTGCATCTTCTTTAGATTTCATGTACCCTACCTGGCTTAGTTCTAGAAACACTTCTATTCTCACATTATACCCACCTCATAGACAATCTTGTCCATGGACTCAGTGAGCCATGCATGAAATGATGGTCAAATATACTTCTCCAACCCTGAATTACCTATAAGCCCCAGACCATTAATTCCAATTGCCAACTTGATACCTCCACTTAGATATCTCAGAAGCAGCTCAACATTGTCATAACAGAAATTATCATCTTTTTCACCAATTTATTCCTCTTCAGGGTATCTCATCTCTTTGAGTGGCACCTTCATCCATCTTTTTGCACCAGTCAGGACCTGGGAACATCCTTGACATTATCCTCTTCCCTACCCTGTTCCACCCCAAACCAATCCATGGCTAAATTGTGCTAATATTTCCTCCTCAGTAGCTTACAAATCTGTGTGGTTGACGCTGTCTCCATCACCTTCTCCCTAATTCCAGCTGCCATCTTCCCTTGGCTAGATTGCAATATCCTCCCAGCCGGTCTCTCCTCTACTCTTCTCCTTCTTCCAATTAGTTTTCCACACAAAATTCAGAGTCGTCTTCTCAAAACAAAAGTTTCATCATGTACCACCTTGCAAACTATCCCACTAATGGTTCCCCATTGCCACTAGGAGCAAGACCAAAATGTATGAGGGTTCCAACATCCCCCACATCCTCACTAACACTTGTTACACTTGTTTTCTTTGGCACTTTAGTGGGTGGTAAGTGGTTTTTCCTTATAGTTTTGATTTCATTTCCCTAATGTCTAATGACCTTGAGTATCTTTTTATGGCCTTATTAGTTATTTGCACATCTTCTTTTAGGAAATATCTATTCAGCTCATTTCTCTGCTTTTAATTGAGTCATTTCTCTTTTATTGATAAGTTCTAAGACTTCTATATATTTTCTGGATACAAGTATCTTGTGAATATATGATTTGCAATTGTTGTCTCCCAATCCATGGGTTGACGTTTCCCTCTCTTGATAGTGTCCATTGATGCACAAAAGTTTTTAATTTTGTTTAAGTCCAAATTATCTATTTTTTTGTTCACTTGTGCTTTGCGTGTCAGCCCTAAAATAGAATTCTCTAATCCAAGGTCACAATGATTTACACGTATGTTCTCTTCCAAGACTTTTACAGTCTTAGTCATTACATTTAGGTATATGATCTATTTGGAATTAACTTTTTAAAATGATGTGAACTTTTATTATGGTGTGAGGTCCACATTCCTTTGCATGTGGATATCCGGTTGTTCCACAATAATTTATTGAAAATATTACTCTTTCTCCCAAGAAATTGTCTGACATCATTGTCAAAATAAATTCACCATGAATGTTTGTGATTATTTCTGGACTCAACTCTATTCCATTCATCTCTCTTGATTACTGTAGTTCTGTAGTAGGCTTGAAATTGGGGAATTGACTCTAGAAATCTATCTTTTTTCAAGATTGTTTCAGCTGTTCTGGACTCCTTGAAGTTCCACGTAAATTTTAAGATGTGGTTGTCAATTTCTTAGAAAAATGTAACTGAGATATTGATAAGTAGTGTGTTGAATTAGTAGATTAATTTGGGGGATGTACTTTCATCTTAACTATATTAAGTCTTCTGATCCATGAACATGGGATGTTTTTCCATTTTCGTAGCTCCTCTTTGACTGCTTTTGACAATTTTTGTATGTTTTAGGACACAGGTATTGAACTTTTTAACACAGTATCATTTTTACACTTTCCTTCTCAGGAGAATTAACTGAACAGATAAACCAGAAGAGCTTGTATCCTGGGAAGTTCTGAACAGTCATCCTTTGGGCAAAGATTATAAAAAATACTTTTTCATTTATTTTTTCATGTAACTCTTCATGGCACCATTGTGGGACAAAGTATGCAAAGATTGTTTGACATTCAGTTGCTGGAGCATTTAGGTTTTCTGGTCCATACGGCATGCTCACCTCACTCCCAGCAGAGTCAAGGAGCTGTGACCCAATTCCGCAGTGGCTTTGGAGGAAACCCTGTGTTCCAACCTCTTTTTCTACAAATAAGTGCCTCAAGTTGAAGATATATAACAAGGAAAATGAGCCTCAAATGATTTTCTTAAAATACCATAAGATGGGAAAGTAATGTTCAAATTGCTTCATGTAGTGTAAACAAGTAATCCAGTTGCCCAACTTTCCTGGTTTTAGTACCAAATGTCCTATGTCCCATGAAACGCTTGGGCTACAGGCAAACAAGGATGGTTTGTATCCCTACATACATGCTTCAACTTCTTCACTCTCTATTCCTAAAGACACACTGATTTATTCATTCAAAAGTATATTTTTATTACTCACCATGTGCTGCACACAGATCAAGACAGATTTAATTCCTGATTTCACAGAGCTCACACCTTAAAAATAATGTTTCTTCAGTTAGTGTAAAATGAGACCCTTATGAATATAGTCTCTCCATCCTTACATTTTATAAACAGAACTGTGGAAAAAGTGTATTTTAATACTATGTATTATGGCAGATGTATTTATATACAATATTATTTCATCCTTGGCATGCAATGTAGGCAAAACCTAAATTCATAGCAGTTACATGTACAACAGATTCCCTGACCAAATCTGCATGCATTTGAACGTTAAGGAAAATAACTGTAAATGATTATAACATATTAAATTAAAAAATATCCATGAGTCCATAGTGATACCTAAAATATCAGCCAATAAATGTGGAAGAGATCATAAAATTAGAATATCGAATTTTATTTTCAACATCCAGTAAAATGTCACTAAAAGCATTGGGTGAAAGGCTGTTGGAGGACAGGCCAGGCCCACAGTGCCAAAGAATCACCTCACAGATTACTGATTCATTACAAGGGCCAAGGTGTACATCTACAATGTGGAAACCTGACAGTCACCATCTGAGCTTAATGCTCAGGCTTATCGTCATCAATAGTGGGCAACCTGACATTAGATATCTCCTGATAAGACATGAAATTACAACATCCCATTGTGGTAAATAAAGAGTTATTTAAAAATCAGTCTAACCTAAACCTAATCCAACCCTAATATAGGGTTGGCAAACTATAGCATGCAGGACAAATGCAGGCAGCTGTCTGCTTTTGTAAATAAAGTTTTATTTGAACACAGCCACACCCATTCATCGATGTATTGTTTATGGTTGCTTTCATGCTACAGTGTAAGAGTTGAGTAGTTGTCACAGAGAATGTAAGGTCTCTAAGCTGAAAAAACATACTGCCTGTCTCCTTATAGTAAAGCTTGGTGGTAGCTGTTCTTTCAGACCTAAACTCCAGTATTCACCAAATACAGAGGACAGAAGAACAAGTTAATGACATAAAGAGGAAACAATCAGGAAAATCCAGAACTTGGGGCATTCAACAAGCCAATGGGCCTGGACTCTTCTAAAATCAATATCATTTTAGAAAGTGACTAGAAGCTACTCTAGATTAAAAGAGACAAAAGCAACATAGTCAAATAAATGTCAGTTTTAGTGGGACTCTGATTCAAATATACAGCCATAAAAGACATTTTGGAGACAATTGGGATAATTTAAATATGTCTTGGACATGTAAATTATGAAATTGTTGTTAACATTGTTGTATGTGATACTAGTATTGTGGCTATAAAGAGAATATTCTTTGAAATCATCAACATTTGTTTAAGAAATATTGAAGAATGGAGTGTTATGATGTCTGCCTCTGACCATGAAATGTTTTAGCAAGAAAATGGATTCATGTGTGTACATAAATTGAGAAAGATTTTTTAATGTGGCACTATGTTAATAACTATTGAATCTAGATGGAGGACATATGAGTGTTTATTGCATCATTCTTCCAAATTCTCTCTATGCTTCAGAAGTACTGTAAATAAAAGGTCTCAGAAAAGTAAATAAATATGTTAATTAGTTATTCATTCATTAAAGATATAGCTTCATAAATTCCAGGTCAAGTGCGTCTTCATCTGCACAAAACTAATTTTGTGAAGAGATATTTTCTTAAACTATGAATGTGCACGGTTATATGCTGATGGATTTAAAATCTAAAAAATGAAATAAAATAATGAAAATATTAAAAGAAGACAGAGGGGATCTCCACTTCTGCCTAGGAAACAGACATAGGAAATTAGTATTGCTCCCAAACTAACAATAAGAAAAATCTATATAAACTATAATATCATTCATCCTCTTGCACCCCTAGAGAGCTGAAGTAATGGCTAACCAAGTAGCTGAAAATCTAAGGAAAGACAGGGTTGTCCCAGGACAGACTGTCAGGAGCACTGGTTCCCCTATGACAGAGCACAAAAGGCAGTGATTTGGGTGGCACACAAATGGTCAAGAAGAATTTACCCACATCTTTTAATGAATTGCTAAGGGCCAAGGTTGGGCCATTGTGAGAGTGTAGACTCTCTGAGGCAGAGGCAAGAATGTGAAGAGACCCTTTCTGAGATGCAGCCACACTGGGCAGATCTGCAGCTGAAGGAGGAGGAACGAGAAGAACCCTCTGGCAAAGCAGCCCCTCTGCGAGCACAGGATCACAAGGTAACACGAGAGTAAACTGAAGACCAGGGCGCAAGGACTCCTGAGCAGATGGACTCAAGCTCCCTCAAAACTAGTCTAGCAGAAGAGCATGCCCACTTACAGTAAAAAGTAATACACACCTCAGTGTCTACTGTGCTACACTCACTGTCCAACATTCAATGAAAAATTATGAAACACAACCAAAATTTAAAAAAAAACCATGAAGAAATCAACAGAACCTGAATTAAAGATAAGTTAACAGAGAATTTTAAATAACCACGATTAACATGCTAAAGGATCTAGTGCAGTAATTCTCACCTGAGGGACAACATTGCTCCAGGGTGCACCTTGCAATTTCTGGAGACAACTTTGGTTTCACAGCTGAAGGGGGACCTACTGGCATTTAGTGAGCGAAGGCTAGAGATTCTATTCAACATTCCACAATACAGAGCACAGTGCCAGCCACAAAGAATTATCCAGCCCCAAGTGTCAACAATGCTGAACTTGAGAAACTCTGCCCTAACTCTTTATCTTATACAGAAGCTAAAATCTGATGATTTCCCGTTCTCCATTAGACAGAGTAAAATTTCTACAGCAACATGTACGGTGCAAAAAGAAAGTAACTTTTAGCATCCATCAATGCACAATGGCAAAATAAATTGGTATATATATATATATATATATATATATATATATATATATACACACACACACAAAGAAAAAATAGTAAAACACATCTGTCTATAGTATAGCTTCTACACTGATGTGACAATATCTCCAATATACATAGTTGAGTGTGAAAAAGCAACTTGAAATACAGTATGCACAGCATTATTGAGTTAATTCTTATAAATAGTAAAATATAGTTTTCAGGGCCACAAAGTAAAGAGCCTAAGTTTGGGATTAAAGATTATGATAAGTTCTGTAATGTCTGAGATGCTCCAACATGAATATATTATTACTAACATAATGGAAAGGTTATAAGTTTTGCCTTAGGTTTATAAGGAAGAGTACACATTTTAAACATAATGGATGAGGTTTCTGCTGAGGGAACTAGCTTCGGGACAGGGTTGAAGAAGAGATCTGGCAGAATCTCCAGTTTGTGGGTGGTTATTTAAAGTCACAACATAAGCATGTAGTCTGCTGTTGTGTGTCATCAAGTCGGCTCCAACACCTGGCGACCCTGTGAGTGAGTGATGTCTGCAATGTCTGCCCTCTACACCGCACTCAGTTTCCGTAGACTCCTGCCTATGGCTTCCTTTATGAAGGCAGCTCAACTCATACTTGATCTTACTTTTTTCCTGCTGTCTTCTACTTGTCCACCAGCACCGTTGTCTTTTCCAAAGAATCCTGCCTTCTCATGATGTGCCCAAAGAAGGACAGCCTCCGTTTTATGGTTTTAGCTTTCAGCAGTAGTTCAGGCTTAATTCATTCTAGGACCCTCTTTGAGACTGATGACAGAGGAAGCACTAAAAATTGTTAAGGACAGGCGAGGAGCAAAAGTAATAGGTGACAAAAGTAGGGTTAGAATCCTGAGCACAGTTATTCACTGACTGTCACATAAAGATAAAGAAAACTACTATAACGGCCAATGTAGAGAGACAGAAGAAAACAACAAAAAAGGAAGAACAAGAGGTCTCTTTCAGAAGACTCGAGAAATCAAAGGAAAATTTAAACCTAGATTAGGAACGTTGAACAACCTACAGAGAAGCACACTGTCGAATCAGGAGAAAATAAAGGGAAGGTGGGAACAGTACACTGAAGATCTACACAAAAGAGACAAACAGATGACAGATTCTTGTGAAGATGATGTCTATGAGGAAAAACCGGTAATTCTAGAAAGTGAAGTGAAAGCTGTCCTGAAAGTACTGGGAATAAATAAGTCATCAGAGTACATGAGATATAGGTATAACTATTTCAAGTCACAGAGACTGAATCTGTTAAAATCCTAACAAGAATATGCCAAAAATATGGAAAACAAAACAATGGCGTGCAGACTGAAGACACTCAATACATATCCCAGACCCCAAGAAAAGACATGACAAGGAGTGCAGTAACTATAGGACCATTGCTCTAATATCTCACACAGGTAACGTCATCCTCAGAGTGCTTCAGCTTTACCTTATGTGGAGCAAGACACTTCTGATGTCCCAAGTGGATTTCAAAAAGGGAGAGGCACATGAGATCTAATTGTGATTATTTGTTGGCGACAGGAGTGCTCCAAAGAATTTCCAAAGAGGGTTATTCTACATT